TTGAATTTGAGACAAGCTTGTCAATAGAGCGGCCACCTATTCGTCATCTGAATGTTGCGCTTCCTCACTCAGGCAAAGACCATGAAATAAAACTTTTGACCTCCGGCAAAGGGTCGACCTGTCCACAACGGTGTTAGACGGTGGATTTGGTGAGACAAGAACCGGTGCAGTGCAAGGTACTATCTCCTAGTCAGTGTTCTGTCATTTGTTGTCTTTGCATTTAAATTGCTGCCAATTCTTTGCTTGCGGGCCATTGCTGACTGCCATAGCCTGTATATAAACCCCTCGCCCATCACAAACATTTTGTGCCATTGTGAAGCGGGATTACTAGTGCAATAGCCAATGGTCCTCTCACTGTAGTTTGCAACGCAATATTGTTAGCTGTTCAATCTCTTCCAATTGTTCAAAAAGCTTTCAATGCACATCCCAGTTGGTCGGTTTGTCCCTCACCTCCAGGCATCCGGCTGTCACACAGACTGTCTGGCCCACCTTCAGAGGTCAGCTTCCCGTCTTGAAGCGAAGGATAAAAGCTCTTGAAGCGAAGGATAAAAGCTCGGTGGAAGCTCGGTTGCATGGTTGCATCATCGTTGCATGTGTCTTTCATTGTTCGCTTTTCTTTAGGTATCCACACGGTGCTACACAACTGGAAAACGATGTCTTTGCAGCTCCAGAAAGACGAGCTTGTCGTTTCGTGATTGTGTAGGAGTCTAGGACAAACAACAGGTCTTCCTACTGCAAAAAGTGTGGAAAGCAAGATGCAATCACTGAGCACTGGGGAAGTGGTGTGTGGCAGTGGTATGAGTAGGGTCTACTATTATGAACCAGAAAGCAGTTTGTTGAAACAAGGTGGTCTTGCGTTATTTTTGCAGCCGTCAAGACTCGGCTCTGTTTTCTGAAGATAGTGAAGCTTTGGGCACACTCGTGTTGCATGCCTGATGTTTTGACATCCTTCTGCAGAATGTTTCTACTCAGAGAGACAACCATCCCATCCTGCATTGATGTTGATCCTACACCTATTGGACCTAGTTGACTCTACTCTTCAGACCCGTGCCTTTGGAAAGGTGGCCAAAGATGAGAAGCATTTGCCACAAAATATCCTGCAGCTTGCACCCCTTATGGATCTTTCAAAACAGCCATCACATACCAAGACTAATACACATGTCAAATTTGTCGTTCAGGTGTGAAAGACTTCAAGTGACCTCTCTATGCGAAGAAGGACTGCTGCACAACAAAGGACAAATTGAACAAATAAAACATTGTTGGATCGTTTTACTGTCCTACTTTCCCACATGACATCATATTACAGGAGATGCTAAGTAAAGGTGCTGGCCCACACATACAATATCAAACTTAGAATGTGTAATTCTGTGACACCCATTCCTTCACATAAGCTTGAACCCCAGGAAATCGGAATTCATGAATCAGGATTCAGATACAGGATGTCTGTTGAGGGAATGCGTTCCCGTTTGCTCCTCGCTCCTCATGACATGATTTGCCTGGTGATCACACCAATCACTTCGAGCAACGACAAGGTCTTCACCTTTCACGCGTTCAATCGCAGAGGTCAGTACCTCAGGACTCAGGGAGCCAGGTTTGCCGTGCAATGGAAGATCAGTGCGTGAAACTTGAGTGGCACCTGCTGTTGGTCGGTTGGCACTGTTTTGGGATCGGTTTGGGGGAAGAACTGCACAGAATCTAAATGTGCTCGCGCACTCTCTCTCTCTCTCTCTCTGATGTTCCAACACGTACCTGCAAGACTCAACAGCCACACACCGCTGCATTCAATGACAGTATGTGATTGCAAGTTCAAGCCACTCCAAGGGCCGTTCGTACTGTAACTAGTTTAGAGAGCATCCGTACTACCGTTTGCTCTTCTGCCATGCTTCGCACTTGGTGCTCGGCTGTGACATATGTTGCAAAAGCTGCCTCAGAGTACAGCTGTCATGTCACAAACGCCCGAATCAAGCGCTGAGCGACCAGCTGACTAGCAGGGCTGGGATGGCCGTGCATCCAAAGTATATATAACCAAATATATAACTCCATCTGTTGGGTATAGAATGTGTACTGCCTTCAGGGGTACCCCCTACTCCCACACCTCCAAATATAATTATATATTTAGTTATTCTTAGGTGGTCAGGGTCATTTTTGGTTTATTATTTGGCTCCCATCAGTGTGTTTTCAAATAGTTATTTGTTGCTCAGCACACATGATGTAAAAAGCAACTTGAAAATCTATTGGAAAAATATGTTAAACACATTAGAGTGCAACCAAAAAATGTTGGCCTGAATTTACAACTTTTTTACAACCTCCATCAGTCATCCAAGATGTAGATATTCAGTACAATATTTGGGGGTGGTCTAGGTGTTCTTAGTAAACTATTTCAGGGTATACCTAACTGTTATTTATTAATTGAATCATCTCATACTCAAAAACTAACGTCTCAAAAAAATTATATGAAAACAAGTATTTGGCGAACATACCCCACCCCTCCAAATAATATGTCAAGGAGGTAGCCATGGTATAGAGATTGCTGCTAACTCTGCTCGGACCGACACGCAACTCTTTGTGCAACTTGTTGTGAATCTTTCAGGCTATCACGGCCTTCCAGGTTTGCATGTTTGACCACTTGTATATACTTTGTTTACTTCACGCCAGGAAATGATCATGACTGACCGAAGCCAGGTGCGGTGAAGCAGCCAAGAATTCAAAGGAACCTGTAACATGAGTAACAATGTAACTAGTGCTAACATCCAACTCTGCATGCGCTGCTACTGACATTGTATGGAAAAGGTCCTTAGCAAATGCTGTTTATTGGTGTCGCATTTGCCACGACTTGACTTCAACAGTGTAAGTGATCCAATCAAGCAAGCGGAGAACATTCACCATCTTTCCCTCACTTCGAGCTGTTCAATTTCTGATATCCCTTGGTGTTACTTCAGTAACCCAGCCACTCAGAACGCCAACATAAATTTTCATCACTGAGTCCATCAATCTCATCATAGGAAGAAAAGTTTCACCAATCCCGATCTATGAAATGGGCACAACTGCCAAGAGTGTGAACAGGATAGGAAGGCAAACTGCTGCCACGACAGTCTTGCGCTCCACAAAGCTTCGAGAGCCGCATGCATGGCAGGCTGAAGAAGAACTTGGGGGGGCTTCCACAGTAATGCCCCACTATCCGTCCAAAGCATCACGAAGACCCCCTGGCCACTCCCTGCTACGAGCTGCAGAGTGTGCACGCCGGCAAGCAGGACAATAGCAGTGGGACATGTCCAGCTGTCCAATCCGTCCATGAGGCTCGACCTGCGAGTGCAAAGAAATCCATCAGCCTCCTCCTCCTCCTCCTACTACTCCTACTACTACTACTGCTACTACTACTGCTACTACTACTACTACTACTAGCTTTCTTTAGGGCTTTCTTCTAGCGCATGCCTGCCTTGGAGAGGGGGAAGCGGAAGCGGCACTGACCACACTTGCAGCTGCCTGGCAGTTTTAATCAATGCCAAAGCCCTGAAGGACACAACTGTGGCCTTGGACCCACTTTGCCTCACTTCCCAATTTCTCTCTTTTCCTGCTGTCAATTCCAGATCACTTTATCATGAAGCACTTGGTAAGCCGACAAGCCTGCCAAGACGGTCTCTGTCGAAGTCTCGCACTCCTCAACCGAACTCTCACACACAATGCTGTCAATCCTGCTACATAGACAAGCTGGTCAAAGTCTGACGGGTTCGATGCATTTGAAGAAGCCATTTGTTTTTCATGTTTCTCCATTTCCGCGTCTTACCTCGTTTTGCGTTTGTCCTTGTCTATCTCTTCCTCTGAGAGGCGAACCTGGTGCTCAGGAGACAAAACACTCGGCAGCCTCCAAAAACCAATAGGAATCATTCATTTAGGATATTGTGCACATCCTCAATCATCCTCATGTCACAGTCACCCTGGAATCATCACTCATTTCATCGCGCTCGGTCATTGTTCGTCATTGCTCTGTCAACTTGGACCTTGAGGTGTGTGTTTCACAAGTGCATGCCCTGTCAGTATATGGGTGTTTATGGATCAATCATTGGGGACAGGAACATGAGAGCAAGAAGCTTCTAGTTTCGAGATGCACTTGTGAAGTTTTCCTAAAAATCCAGGAACCAAATGATTGTGAGTAGTGCGAGCGTGAGCTAGAAGCGTCCAAGTTTTTACCCTTACTTAATTAAGTAGGCGCCTATGGCCCGCCTACTTAATCAAGTAAGGAGGCAGGGCCACGGGCTACAACAAAAATCCCCACCAGCCTTGGCAAGACTCTCGGCCAAAGCATCGACATCCTCGCATCGTGCAGCTCACCAAGTTGCTACCACCGACCGAGAGGAAAACAACCAAGTGTTTCGCTCTCAAAGGGGGTACGATAGAGCTTTCATGGGTACTTGCAGCAGGGATTATTGGAGTAGCGCAAGTACCCCACCTGTTTGTGGCCTGTTTTTGTGAAGAAAGAGCGCACTGGTAGACATTGAACACCTTCTTTCTGTGGTTCAATCATTTGACTTCCTCAAATGACTCAAATGCATTCCTCGTTGCAATCAGACGTGCTACCTGTGTCTCTTGTGAGCCGTGATCTAACCTCCCAAGGGCCTCCCCTCAGTCCTCCGCCATTGTTCGTCTCACATCATCCGCTTGCTGCACAAAGCCAAGGAGTTGTCAAGATGCATTAATGCATCTGTCTAACCACACTAAGAGCAAAAGACTGTGAGGGCTGATGAGCAAAAGGACGCACAGTTTCAAATAACATCAAATTATATAACGTTGTTCAGAATGTCCGAATATATACAATGAAATATATACTCATGATCTGCTTGTTTGAGCTATACACTAGTCACTAGTGACTAGTCTTGGTGTAAACAATTTTTTCACCAAGTGCCTTTGACTCATCTAGAACCAAAAGGCTGTCTGCAGAAAGTGAGCGATTGTGAGCTGCCTTTCACAGGCCGACTACTCACGTACACAAACTTAGCGTACAGCACAAACCATTTTACCAGCAGAGGTCACGTATCTTGACAAAAAACAGTCTAATAGTCTATGTGTTTGTATGATCTCCAACTTCAACTTTCTCTGCAAAATCTATCTCTTGATCGTGCACAGTATTATCATGTCCTAGCTCTGCGCCCATAGTCGGGACACCTTGAGATTGGTTTGTCCGTGAACACCTCCTTGTCTGGGCAGTTTCAGGTTCACCTGGCACCTTGAGATTCGTGTCGGAGTGTAGGACTCTTCGCATACTCTTCTCCTGACACCGCTGAGTCCGAGAGCTTCGACCCGCGCGACCAACGCTAGTAGATGAAAGGTACCAATTTCCATGGCGTCGAAGCAGCAAATGATCGCCACTTCTCTTTGAACACGTCTTCCAGGAGCTCTTCTTCTGCAGCAATCCGCCGTGAATAGAAGGACGCAGCCGCTGCAATCAAAAGACCACATCCAACCAAAGACTGCAGATCCAGGAGGCCACTGATGAAAAGAAGGAGGTAGGACGTGTAAATCGGATGTCGGACTAAGCGGTATGGCCCGGTGGTTACAAGCTGTGAGGACACTGCCACACGATCGTAATTCCTGCACAAAGCAAACCGTATGAGCAATGAGCAATGTGTTCTGCTTCAAATACTTTTGTTGAACCAAATTCTCAGCTTTGAAGTTGAAGACCCTGCAACTATTTGAGCTAGAATGGGCATCTCTTGAGTGTCCTCCCCAAGTGCCACGCTGCGCTGCCATTCAATACGATCGCGGCGAATCTTGGAAGCTGCCACCAGGAGCACAACACCTTTCGATGCCAAACAAACGTGGCTGCTGCAATGTTGTGCGCCATGAAAATGGCTAGCAGAAACAACCTGAGTGAAGGCTGTGTCTAACAGTCCGTTGAGCAGTTGCCACGAACTCACGTGTCTTCCCTTTGTCCCTGTTTGGGTGGTAGGCTACTACAAAAGAAAGGAACTAAGAAATCCAACATAATCCACCAAATTAGAATAATTCATAAGATATCTATTGAACCCCTACTAAAAGTAGAGGCCCTGCTCTTTCGTTTGATGTCGCTTGTAGGCATTATGTGTCATGAGGCAATAAGAACCAGTTTGCAACATGAAGCACGAGTAGGAGGCAGTACTGCTGTAAGGCCTACCTAGCCACAAGCAAAGCAACCAAGCAGCACAAAGTCCTGACGCCTTGTACCAGGTTTGCCTTTAGCAGGGCGCGCGTAGGTTCCAAATCGCCAGGCACGGGGAACAGTCCCGACTAAAAAAAATGCCAGATATTCAAATGGCATCAAACCCAAGGCCCATCCACCACAAAGGTGAGAGGATGCAAGGCCAGCTGGAAGGAGCAGGAGCAACCAAATGGCTAAACAAAGCTGTATAGGCTGCAAGAGCCTTTCTCCTAGAGATAAACGACGCCATCGTCCTTCACGATCGGTGCTATCTGTGCCATCGGCGCCGAGGCCGATTCCAGGTCGCCTTCCTCGTAAATGCGACAGGCGTGGGGCAGGGAAGTGAGATCTCCTAGCATCAAAGAGTAGGCGAGCGTTTCGACTAGGACCAACAGGTGACAAAGGCCAACGAACGGAAACTGTGGCAGGACTCGAAATCATGGCTGGACTTAGGCCTTGAATGAATAGCTGACTGCGGTCAAAAAATGACATTCCCTGCAGCTATCATCAAGTGGGCGCTCAACTCGACAACGCATAAATTAATTGATATAAATTGACATAATTGACACCTTTTTCAGCACGATCTTCATGCTTTGAGTTGCCACCGCAAGCGCAACTTTAGCGCTTCATCGGCATGAGGGGTTGCGAATCGCGGCTGGTAGCCGGCTATGTAAGTCCAAAGGTCGGCTACCAGGGTGGGCCCCGATCAGCTTCTCTTTGCTGTGTCTCGTGCCGGCGCGCTCTCGTCACCTGCGCCAAGGAACTTCGTGGACTGCAGGGTCAAACACTGGAACTCAATGAGAAGTACCCCATGGGAAAACAGTGGTGCTTGAAGTGTCCGCTGCTTTGTTCCGCCGCCTCCAGTTTTCTGCCGCCTCTCAGACTGGGACCGTCCAACCAAATGGACCTAGAAAACAAGGCTGAACAAGTTGGCGTGTGGGAGAATGCAGAGTGCGAGAGAATCTGAGAACTCTGGCGTCTTTCTATTCAGCTTCAAAAAAAAGTTCTTTGTCGCGTGTGTGTCTGACTTTAAAATGGAATGGAATTGGATGAAGCAATCCACATCTGGTGTATATAACCTAAATCTGGAAGTTCGACCACACCAAAGAGTGTGTGTGAGGCTTGACTGCCAAATATCTACAGCATTCCACAGCAATGAACCTCCATCTGAGGCTTTAGCAGCTGCCCACACAAAAGGTGTATGTGCTGCAAGACCCAAACCTTCCGAGAGCCCCCCGTGCACTCTGGAAAGGTGTCACGACATCCTGGAAATGCCATGTGGATGCGGTGTTTGCTGTGGAGCTTGGTCTTATGATCCCTATCCATTCTGGGGGGGGGACCTGAAAAATTGTAACTTACATTTTCCCCTAACATAGACCTAACAACATGTAAGTTACATTTGTTAGGCAAACCACCAAAAAAAGTAACTATAATACAAAAATGTAACTAAATAGGGGACAATAATGTAAGTTACATTTTCCAGGCCTTTTCCAGGGAAAATGTAACTTGCATTAAGTCACATGTCAGGCTGTTTGTGTGAGGCTGTTTGTCCACTATATCCTGGGTCATTGTGGAACATACATGGACCTGACTCCCAAAAGAAAATGTAACTTAGGTGTGTCCAGGCCTGGGATATGTGCAATTTCACCTGGTATGTGATGTGTGAAGTTGGGTTTGGTTAATTTAAGTGTTCCTTTCTTTGCTAGGTTGGTTGTGTTTTGGGGTGTGTGAGGTTGTTTGTCCTTTGTATCCTGGGTCATAATGGAACATATATGGACCTGACTCCAAGAACAAAATGTGACTTAGGTCCTTAGGTGTGTGTGCAGGCCTTGGATGTGTGCATTTTCACAAGCCTGTCCACCTGGTGTGTGCTTTGGTTGTCTTGCTCTGTTTTGGTGTTGTGTGAAGATACTTGTCATTTATTGGTTGGGTCATGTTGGCACATGTATGGACCTGACTCAACAAAATGTAACTTAGGTGTGTCCAGGCCTGGGATATGTGCAATTTCACCTGATATGTGATGTGTGAAGTTGGTCTTGATTACATTTATGCCTACCTTTCTTTGGTGGGTTTGCTGTGTTTTGGTGTTGTGTGGGGCTGTTTGTCCTTGATATCCTGGGTCATAGTGGACCATACATGGACCTGACTCCCAGAACAAAATGTAGCTTAGGTGTCCAGGCCTGGGATATGCGCAATTTCACCTAGGCAAACATCACGGACCAACTATGTGGTAGGTCAACAAACAAGAAGCCATCATAGAAACATCTGCAGCATCTCGCGGCTGGTCTACCGCCAGAACATGGAGAGACTATCTGCGCAATGGGGGGGCCTGTAAAATGTAACCGTCAGCCTTGCAGAGTCCAAGTTACAATTTCCACACACCCCCCCCCCAGTCCTTTTTTTGCTGACAGTCACGATCACATCTGCACCGCGGGGGGGGGGTAAAATGTAACATAAAGGCCTCGATAGTCCGGGAGGTCTGAAAATGTAGCTATAGACCTGGCAGACCCCCTCAAATCCATGGTTAAGGGGGGTGGGGATGTCTTATGAATGACCTGGATTGACTTCTCATTGATTGCCTGAAACCCAACCAACCCATCCTTGAGAACCACTTCAAAACTTCAATATAGAACCTGGGATCAGTGGCCACGTGATTGTCGAGACCGAAGGATCCCTCAAGGAGACTCCGAAGGATCGTGGGAAGGACCGACCGTGATCGTTGGAAGTAGCCATGCCCTAGCTACTAGTAGCGTCCTTGCTACTACTAGCGATGGCCTCCAACCAACTTGC